GAGCACCACTCAGGTGACCCTGTGTTTTGAGGACTGCAAGGAGGGACGCGACAACAGGGTGAACGGAACAGTCTTTATTAACTCAAGTAAGTATGACAGCGATTCAAGGCAACCCGGAGCGCGCCAAACTATTTATACGAACGCTTCAACCAATAGGAGCCCGGGACTTGGACAGCAACAGCTGTCAAGCTCCCAGGTCCAATTAGAACTCACTCTCTGCCGGCAACAGCCTCCCTCGCGTCCTAACCAATCAGGACAGAGGAGGCTGTTGCTGACCGTCAAGGTGCTGAAGTAACTTTAACCAACGTAGGCCATTTGCATGGGCCTCATGAATATTCAATACCGTGGACACTGGGAAACCTCCAAGTGCTTCAAAAGGATACAAATGGCCAGCTGTCAGCAAGGAGTATAAATCCTTTCATTCCCCACCATCCAGTCAGAGCTGAAGAAGCTTCTTTTATGAGAAGCCAAACATCTTAAAAAGAAAAAACTAGAAAGTCCAATTGCCTCCTGAAAAAAGCGCCTTTGGGACAACCATGACTTAGATGACTGAGAATCTCTACTGACTTTTGGAATCTGACATTTCTCCCCACTGAACATGCGAACTGAATGCAGCCCAATATTCAAGTCAATCAAAATTCTTTGGAACTTTGGAAGCCTGGAATGGTCCTTCTTCCCAAAAAAAATTTAGTACCGCCTTTCTCGGGAGATGATCTTCGATCTCAGAATTCCCCAGCCAGCTATGCAGTCTGGAGAATTCTGGGAGTTGAAATCCACCCATTTTAAAGTTGCCAAAGTTGAGAAATACTGTAAATCTGGAGTTTCATGACCCAAGTAATAAAATAAAATAAAAAGTTCTATTATTATTCTTTGAAGCTAAAATCGATTGCACAGATTCAGCCAGCTTTTGCAACACCAACAAGCAATTCACAAACAGCTGTATTTGCTTATTATAAACAAACAGTATACCATAATTGTGCAACCCCCATCATGGTGGCTTTTAAATTAGAGCTTTTCATGGGCACTTACTTAGTGTAAAAGGCTACAAATTTAAGTTCGTCTAGGTCTCCCCGAATAATCACATCATCAAATCCTTCTCCATGACCTAGAAAAGAAAAGCAACATGTCTATGTAGGAAGCACTAGTTTCTTTTTCCTATTTTAATCTGCTGTCTTGTTTCTTTAAAAAAGCATAAAAATATATATGATAAGAAACTAATTTAATACTACACATGAATAAATACATTTAGAGCATCTTGAAACAAACAGACATTTTTAAAATATATTTCACCACATTTTTATGGAGCTCTGTATTACAACGTGGCGAAAACAAAGAGAATTTTGCTGCAAAGTGCAGGTGAATCGACCAGGTGCAGAATTAGTTCCCTTTTGGTCAAGAGTGGAGAAGGTGACATTTTAAGGCACCCTAAATTAGATACTTTCTCCAGCCATTCAAATCTGGACTTAGTTTCATAGCACAAATCATACACAGATGCAAGACCTGCATTTTTTCCAAGCTTTCTAAGGAAGAAACATAGCTGTGGATTTTGCCAATCTGCCTGAGTGTATTCTTTTTTTTAATTTATCAAATATATGTGGATAAATAATGAGTGACTCTGGGCAGCAAACAATGAAATAAAAACAATAACGAACATTACAAGAGTTAAAATACAAAGTACCTGAGAATATCAAACAGCCCACCACCTCCCAAAAACCAGAAAGGCAACCAAAAAGCAGGTCTCAGCAGCGCACACTCTAATCCTAAACTTTTCTTCCCTCACCTGCATAGCGAATGCTCTTGCCAAACATGGCTGTCCACAGGTAAGGGACGGTGCTGATTTCGGTCCCATAGGCCAGCATGTTCAGTGCTGCTATGCGCCCTGGGATGCAACAGAGAATGTAATAGAGAAGTCAATCAGGCATCTGAGTTAGGGTCTTTAGAGCATATCAAAACTATGTTTGTTTTGCCATCAGGTGGTTGTGTTTTTAACTATGGATTATTTTAGGCAAAAGGACACTAAACAACTTCAGTCAAATGAGAACTATGCTATGTTGATGATAGTAAGACTCATTAAGAATCTTTGACCTCTGATATGAATATAAGTAATGACTGTGGAAGAGATGCACGAAAGCTAATTGTAACCAATTGACACACTTTCTACAAGATGTAATGTAAGATNTAGACAATAAACTTAGATAGAGATATAAATGAGATGAAAACTGTTAGTATGTGTATGATGAGAATTACGATGTTTAATGTTGATATGATATTATTACTAGAAGATATTAAGAAGAAAAATGGAGAGTTCTATAACATTTAAATGCTCAATATATTATAATACTAAACTTAGGGAAATAATGTTAATATGAATGTGAAAGATGTGGCAAAAAAGGAACGAGGTTGCACAGAGATGTTTGTACCCAAATGACACACGGCATAAGGAAAGATGGTATGTTTATTTTTGTAATTAACAAATAATAAAGCTCTTTAGAAAAAACCCAAACGCCTAAGTGATTTCTTGTTACAGTTCTGCTTATCTGTGAAGATAGAAAGCTAGACACTGCTGGGTGTGGGAGGCTCCCCACCTCTCCTTGGGTGGGTGGGTGGATGTGGCCGGGGAGTTTCAAACAGAAATATCCTGGCTAGATTTGAGAAGGAAAAAAGAAATTATATTTAACTATTTTTGGGTTTGCGGAAATACCACCCCAAGAAAATAAAAAGTAAGAACTGGAAGAGACAGCTACAACAGTAGAAAAAGAAAGAAAGAGAGGAGGGGAGGAGAGGAAGAGGAGGGAAGGAAGACAGAGTTGCGGAGAGGAAGATGGAAGGGAGAAGGAGAGAAGGGAGAAAGGGGAAGAGGAAGAGTGGAGTAGGGGAGAGGTAAGAGGAAGAAAGTAGGGAAGGGAGGGAGGGAGAAAAGAAAGGGAAAAAGAAGGTGGTGTCAAAACAGGAGGAAGGGATGGTAAATAAAGCAACCCAAATAGTATGTTATAACCCTGTAAAAGGAATGACAAAAGTATAAGAACGATGAATGTAAAAAAGAATAATAACTATGTGAATGTATACCTATAATTGTACATAGAGAACAAAAAATAAAAATAAAAAACTTTAAAAGAAACCAGAAATATCCTGGCAACCTTGCAAACTCTGAGCAACTGAAAACCATCACTTATCTGAAATATTATAGGTTCTCCTGCTTGAGCAGGGAGCTGGACTAGAAGACCTCCAAGGTCCCTTCCAGCTCATCCATTCTATTGTTCTATTGTTGTTCATCCTCCCCAGAGGCTCTACGCCTCTCTTCCACCCCTCCTCGGGTCCAAGGAAGTCTTGCAAACTGCCTCCCCAACTGTGGACTTCCTCACTCTGTACATGGGCAGAATCCTAAACTCTCAAAATGAGGCCAGTGGAGGGCTGGAGGACTTCCAGGTCTTGACTGCAAGGGCTGTGGCTGGTGGGGCTGGCAGTCCTATCCATAACAGGGAAGTGCTAGGAGACAGTGGGCAAAGATGAGGAAGGGCTCTGTTCTCTTCTTGATGTTCATATTTTTATTTTCTAACTCTCCCAACCTCCCTCCGAAAGAAACAGGAGGCTGCCAAGATGATGAACCAGGCATCCTGTCTAAGGAGCTGCCCTCCCCAGGCTTCCCATCCTTGCAAAAAGAAATATCTTTTTCACTCAGCGATTAATTCCAAAGCTTGCAAAGAGTCTTCTCCCACCGCCCCGGCCTGCCTCCTCCAACCAGAGGCTCAATGGGGGGTTTTGAGGGCCCCCCAAAGCCTCACTAAACTCCATTCAATTCAATCATAATAAAACTGGGACCTTGGAGGTCTTCTAGCCAACCCCCTGTTCAGCAGGAGACCTATATATATATCAGAGTTCCCCAACCTTTCCGTGTTGGAGCGAGGAAGAGAAGGAAGGAAAGAGGGGATTATTTTATGGGAGGGGCAGGTGCATGTGTGTGCGCGAGCATCTGCGAAGTTTGCAGCGATGCTCGTGTGAATGGAGCCAGACCCTCTGGGATGCTCATGCAAACATCCATCTGAGTGGGGATGTGCACGTGTGTAGATGTGATCCAGTGTCGATTAGGCCATAGCTGCGGCCCACAGGTTGGGGACCCCTGCCCTATACTATTTCAGAGAGGTCCCTGTCCAATCTCTTCTTAAAAACTTCCAGTGGTGAAGCACCTCATTGTCCTCCCTATTGGGAAGTTTCTCCTTAATCTCTCCTTGATTGGTTTCCATCCATTCTATCCAGCAAGAAGCAGAGCCAGCCAAATGTATAGGCTGAAAAATAGCTTTTATCCATCAGACATCTATACGCAACATAGCACCACAATCAGGTTTAATATGATAGATTTGCAGGGCCAGGGTAACATACATGTTTATAGCAGTGTAACATAATATTATATACATATATGTATGTGGTAATGTGTGCTAGTTATTAGTTATTTGGGTTTAGGGATTTCTTTTTCTTTTCTTTATTCAGTTACCAGCCAATAACCTTGCATTGCCCGGGTATTTATTTATAGGGGGAAAATGTCTGGACCAAACATAATTTCTAATGTTGGATTTTACCCCTTACCAGAGGGAGCCCCCTTGTGGAGTATTGTGGAGTACTGTGAAGCAGTTACCATGGCAACTCCACTGTGCTGTACAGTAGAAGCCATTTTAAGGCACAACAGGCTGTATCTTAACAGAACACCCACCTACCCATGAGGGGTTTTAGGGGTGTCTTATCCCCGCAATATTTTTTTCAGTGTTTAAGTCATCTGTGTGCCAAGTTTGGTTGAAATTCCTCGAGGCGTTCCATAGTTATGCTGGAACACACACACACACACACACACACACACAGCCATTTTTACATATATGGATGGAGATGTATTTGGCGTTTTCAGGAGGGCTGTACCAAGGGAGGCTGATTCAATTTTATTGTACACATTGACAATAAAGGTTTGTTTTGATTGATCCATCCAACTCTACCTTGCCCTCCTGTTCCCGCAGTTCTGACACTTCGGTCTGCATGTAGAACTTCACTCGGTTGTTTTCAAACATCTGTCCCAGAGGAGAAGGGGAGAGAAGGTTGAAAGACATTCCACTCAAAACAAGGTTCAATCCTCCCCAAATGCCCCCTACAAGGAGCTGCCTTGCCTTCATGATGGCTCGCCCAACCTTCTCCCCAAAGAATTTCTTGAAGGGGGCTTCTTCCAGCTCCACCACCGAGACTGAGTGAGCCTTCTCCGAAAGGTAGGCAGCCACCTCCATCCCTGCAAAGGGCCAGAGGGAGCAGAAGGGTTAGGGAGCCACCGCGAGAAAGACCCAACACAAGCTGAGAGTGCAGCACAAAGGCAGACGATCCAGCTGCTGAAACAAGTCAACTTGGGCAAAACGAGAAAAAAACAATAGCTAAAAACAGAGGGAGAAGCCCCCCTCCTCAATCTCCAACTTGGACACAGAATTTAATTTTCAAGACATATTTAGCCTGTGTCCACATACTGTACTAAATCATGATTTCCTTAATCATGGTTTGTGCAATAAACTACAAACAGCAGGATCTGCTTTGCATGCTAAGTCATAAACCATAGATACCGGGTTTCCTCAAAAATAAGATCGGGTCTTATATATTTCATTTGGACCAAAAGACCTATTAGGCCTTATTTTCAGGGAGGTCTTATTTTGAGGGTAACTGCCAGCCCCCTCCCACCATCTGCTTGCCTGCATTCTCAACAGCTTTACAAAGCTTCCCAAGGCAAACACACTTTTTGCCTGAATGGAAAAATGACCGAGACTTGAAGCTTTGTATGCTTGCAAGTGGGATGTTTTAAAACAGAGTAATTAGCAAAAGCGTCCCATTTGCAAGCAGAGAAAGCTTTGTCTCCATCTGGGCAAAAAGTGTTTGGGCGCTTAGAGGGTGCTTGGGATTTGCTCCATTCTCAAGCACCCCATAGGAGCCCAAACACTTTTTGCCCAGATGGAGAAATGACGGAATACTGGAAGCTTCATCTACTTGTAAATGGGATGCATGCAATNAGGAGCCTAATGACCACCAGCTGAGTGCAATTACCTCTTGTAATTGCATAATTGTTCCTTCTGCTTATTAGCTCTCCGATGCCGGGCATCTAGGAACAACTCCCTTGGCTCCTCCCCACTGTTGATGTCCGGATTACACCCCCTTGTCTCCTCCCCACTGGTGGCCAACCAGCCTCTCTGCGCCCTGCTCTGAGTCGGAACCCTGTCCAGGGTCCTCCACATCCTCCAAAGCCAACTTATAGGGCCCCTCGCTGTCGGAGTCTGGTGGCAGCTCCAACGGCTCCTGCTGGGCCACAACACTTCCCTATCGCCAAGTCCAGCTCTACACTTCTTCCCAAATGCAAAGTCTTAGACTCCAGTAGGGAAAATCTAAAGATTGGTTACAGTGACAGCCTTCTCTTTTTTTTACAGCCCACCCTGCCTGCTGTGCTTGGAGGTGGGTGGGTGTGACTTTGTGTGTGTGTGTGTGTATGTGATGCATCAGTCCTGAACAAGGTGGAGCGAAGCAAGTTTTAAAACCAGAACAGAGGGAGGTTTATTCATAGGGAAAATATGATTGGGAAAGGTGAAGCTGAACACCCAACTAGGCCTAGGACGGTCCTGGGCCTGGGAAAGGACCACAGAAGAGGTTGTTGTCCGTCCATCTGCCCGTCCCCTCCCTCTCCAATATCTTGACTGCCCTAAACCAAGACAGGCTGCAGCTACCCGCACCATTTGCTAAGGATTTCCCAGGATTTCCAGAGGGGAAATGGAGACTTCTCCTCCACCACAACACCCACCGTGCATGTGAGCCATCTGCCAGTGGGGAACGTTGGTCTTCTTGTGGTTCCTCAGTGCCAAAGGAAAGGCCACCGCGTCGCCTGCAGCAAAAACTCCTGGAACGTTGGTCTGCATCATCTGGAAAGGAGAGAAGAGCTCTGTTGGGGGAAGGCCTTGCAAGGGGAGGGGGAACAAGGAATGGTCCATTGCAGGAGGGAAGAGGGAGGGAGGGAGGAGGGAGGGAGGGAAGAAGGAAGGAAGGAAGGAAGCACCAGCTGAGCAAGGAAGGAAGGAAGGAAGGAAGGAAGCAAGGAAGCAAGGAGCAAAGGAAGGAAAAAGCAAAGAAGGAAAGGGGGAAGGAGCGAGGGAGTGAAGGAAGGAAGGATGAAGGAAAGAGGGAGGGAAGGAAAGGAAGGAGGGAAGGCGCAAAGGAAGGAAAGAGCAAGGGAAGGAGGAAGGAGCAAAAGGAAGGAAAGAGAGAGGGAGGAAGAAAGGAAGGAAGGAAGGAAAGAAGGGAGGGTGGATGCACTATCAAAAGATTTCAAAAGACAGGCAAAGCAACCAGACAGAATCATTTTCTTAACTTTCTCGGTAGCTTTGACAAATCTGATCATTTGCGTAAACTCTAAAAATGTAACAATAGTCAAGTGATGACTAGAAATAAAGATGCTGAGGAATACCTGGAAGCATCTTTAGGAACTTCTCCACAGCCAAGTCATTTAGTTTTTATACCTGTTGCATCCTGATAGTTTTGGCTGAGTTTTTACCGGACAGTCCCGTGACACTTCCTGGTTTTCAGCTGCACAGGGGAAATAAATAACTAAGAAATAGTTTAGCTCTGACTGAAGGAAGCACAGCTGTCTTGTCCTCGTGCAAATATGGACAGTGAAACAGGGAACCCAGCCTGCTCCTCCTCTTCAGAGAGCCATATTCACATGAAGAGTGGATATCCTTGTATTCTAATATTCTCATGCTTACACAAGGGTTGTAAATCTCTTCTGACTGATCTGACCTATTCCATAAATTGTGGGGTTATTAAGCCTGGTTTGTCCATTTTTCAGCTGATAGTTTTACTTAACATCCTTAAAGATGAAGCAAATCTCAAATGCAAAAAAGGAAAACAAGGCAAAGCAGCTGATAGATTGAAAACATTGCTAGCAACCAAACTGCAGGAGTTGGAGAAATTAGCAGCAGATCTGTTTAAAATCATATAAAAAATTGCAATTCAGCTAAGCAGTTGTGGAAAACACAGCAGTGGCCCAGGGACTGGAAAATATCCATTTATATTTCAATACCTGTCCTGTGATTGACCCACATTTTTTTTAATTAATACTTGGAAGAGAGGCTGCCCAGACAAACTAATCTTCCTATTTACTTTTGTCAGTTGCAAGATAAAAAAACCTCCAGTTCTAACCCCATCAGATAATTATTTCTCACTTTGGTCTTAGCAGGTGCCTAATACTGTTAATCCTCATTAATATGTAACCCTCCTTTGCTGATAACAAGGCCACTCCAGGGGTGGAGGTGGGGAGATGCGGGAGGGCTTTAAATCTTTCCCAAGGAAAGCAGCCCCTTTGCAATTCCTGCCCATGGCCCACTCCACAAGGGAGGCCCTCCTGGGGTGTATCCAGAAAGAAAATCTTTGCCATAAATAGAAGACCCCTCTTAATAAATCTTTTTAATATATGCCTTTAGGGTTCACCTTTTTTTGATATCCAACCTGCAACTGCATTAGCCAGCAACAATTCCCAAAAGACCAAGGCTAAAGAAGGTTGAACATACCCAACGCTTTCCCTTACCTGATATGCTAGGGAGTGTTTCCAATTCAGACCTCAAGAAAGGCAAGGGCTAGATGTGACATTAGTCAGAATAGAGCTGGAAGGGACCTTGGAGGTCTTCTAGTCCAACACACCCCCTCTCAAGCAGGAGACCCTCTACCATTTCACACAGGTGGCTGACCAATCTCTTCTTGAAAGCCTCCAGTGATGAAGCTCCCACAAACTCTAGAGACAAGCAAGCTCTTCTCCCGGTACTGCACACACACATCCACACACACTTCTACTCAGATAATTTCAAATGAAGAGACGAGAGCTCCACACTGAACAAAGCACCTCAAGTTTTGACTCAGGAAATAATCAGGGACTAAATTTTACTTTAAAATATGACATGGAGGTAGGGAGGGAGGGATGCATGCAAGCATGCATGTATGCATGCATGGATGGCCACCCATCTTGCCTGAAACACTTCCACAGGGTGGAACTGTGGATTCCTTGGTGCCCTTTGGTGATTTGCGCACCCCACCCTACCACACACTGATGGTGTTCCCTAGTTGGGCACTGCAACATCTGCAGGGAGAGCATCAGCACAGAGAGCATCAAGGACTCCATTTAGCCTACTGATTGAATTACCCAATTGCCGTTGGGTGTGTGTGTGTTATTATTTTATTATTTTTTATTATTTCTATTTCTTCTACATTGTGTTTTTATTTTCTATAAGCCAACTAGAGTCACTGGGAGTGAGTAGGCAGCTATATAAATTTAAATGAATGAATGAAATGGATGGATAGATGGATGGGTAAAAGTAGGTGGCTATATAAATTTGAATGAATGAATGAATGAATGAATGAATGAATGAATGAATGAATGAATTGGATGGATGGATGGATTGAATGGATGAATGAATGAATTTGATGGATGGATGGATGGATGGATTGAATGGATGAATGAATGAATTTGATGGATGGATGGATGGATTGAATGAATGAATGAATGAATTTGATGGATGGGTGGATGAATTGAATGGATGGATATATGGATGAATTGGATGGATGAATGAATGAATTGGATGGATGAATGGATGGATGAACTGGATGGATGGAATGAATGAATGAATTGGATGGATGGATAGATGGATGGATAGATAGATGAGTTGAATGGATAGTTGGATGGAGAAATTAGATGGATGGATGAATTGAATGGACAGATAGATGGATGAACTGGATGGATGGAATGAATGAATGAATTGGATGGATGGATAGATGGATGGATAGATAGATGAGTTGAATGGATAGTTGGATGGAGAAATTAGATGGATGGATGAATTGAATGGACAGATAGATGGATGAACTGGATGGATGGATGAATGAATTGGATGGATGAGTGAATTGATTGAATGGAATGAATGAATGAATGAATGAATGAATGAATGAATTGGATGGATGGATGAATTGAATTGACGGATAGATGGATGAACTGGATGGATGAATGAATGAATGAATTGGATGGATGAGTGAATTGATTGAATGGAATGAATGAATGAATGAATGAATGGAATGGATGAATGGATGGATGAATGGATGGATGAATGGATGGATGAATTGAATGGACGGATAGATGGATGAATTGGATAGCTGAATGAATGAATTGGATGGATGAATGGATGGATGGATGATGAATTGAATGGATGGATGGATGGATGGATGGATGGATGGATGGATGGATGGTCCAGTGCTTGGCCAACAGCCCCCCTGCCCCCGCCACCACCACCTCCTCCCTGGCCGGCCTGTTTGGCTGCTTCTAGGGTACCTTGTTCACCACGATGTAACCTTTGGAGTCCAGATGGACGCCACTCTGCTTCAAAAAGCCAGTGGCTGGAGTGGCTCCTGCGCCAAAGAAAAGAAGGGCATTAGCAGTGGGAGGGACTCTTGACCCCCATCCCCATTTATTTCAACCACAGAAATGACCATTATCAAATACTAATTACTCTTGACCACTCCATCTGCTTTATAAATCATAAAATGATAGATCATCCATATAAACTGGAGATAATACAAGTTTACATCCCAATTATCAATTGGTGCTTTGTTTTAAGTCCCCCCCCTCTTCTTTCCTCTTCCCCCTCCTATTTTCCTTCCATATTACAGTTTTTTAGCTTGTAAAAAACTTTAGGTGATGGTTGCTCTTTGGTGGCCTGTAAAACATTCTGGCTTTTTGGTGGAATTAAAATGCTTTAAATAAACTAAAATGTAGCTTATTTTAAATAAATAGTTTAAATAAACTATTATTTAAATATATGCTATAGTTTAGTATCCCTAATACTGATAATTCCTTACTGTCAAAATCAAACACTTTTTGGGCTCCCCCATTATGTCATCACTTCCTTCTCACACTTTCTCATGGCTTCAGAAGATCCTGATTTCTGCCATATGAAATAATTATCCTATGGAAGGATTTCTCGGAGTGGTTCGGTGGCCTAGAGGTGGAAACTCTCATCTCACAATCAGGAGGCTGTGAGTTTGATCCTAGGTAGAGGCAGATATTTCTCTCTGGGCCCAGTGAGACTATATCTGCTGAACAAAACTCCACATTGGTGACAGGAAGGGCATCGGGTCAGTAAACGCTCAGCTCCATTCAGTTGCTTTTTTGTGAATGAGCCAATGTCAACTATAATCTCTCTACTGACTCTTCTCACTCAGCTCTGTAACTTACTTCAGGGACAATTTTTTGGGTCACCATAGAGAAGTATTTTGCCAGGGCCCCCTTTCCAACTTAATCATTGTTCTAGAATCTCCAGATGGTCCCCCATCCCAAAATCCCCAAAGTGGCTTTTTTTTTCAAACTCAGCAAATGTCAGGTAAATGCTACCCCCTGATGAACAGAAAGAGCTGTATAATTAAAGTAAGGGCTGTCCTTGTGGGAAGGTCAAGGAAGAGTCCTCAAAACATAGGGGCACTCAGGGACATCCCCAGGGGGTTATCTAAAAGCTTAAGATGGCCAAGAGCAACTGATCAAAGCATGTGTGATGTCTCTCTTGGACGATTCCTCTGATTCTTCCTTGGAGTCGGCTCAAGGGAGGATGAGCTCATTCCTGGCATGTCAGGAAGTGGGTTAATTAATGACTCTGAACAGCCTGCCAAAAGAAATTTAAAGGATGCTTCGGAGGGTGGCAGCTTGCAGGTGTAGATATCAGTGAAGAGGAGGAGCAGGAGCTGCCTTCTGCAGTAGATTCAAGAGCACGCAGGGCAGAGAAAAGACGAGAGCAATGGAGATCTTCCAGATTTCTCGGGAGGAGGCCTTGCCTGTCTTGATGGGCTGCACTGGAAAGCTATTTATCATGGCAGGCATAGGGAGGCGTTGCTGGGAGTAACACATTGGGTTGATGGCTGTGTGTATTTATTCCTCGTATGTCCTGCTCGACTTTGTACCTTGGAGACTTTGAACTTCTCTTACCAAGTGAGCTCTCATAGACGTCCTTTCAGTTTTCCTGGTAGATTTAAGTTTGTTTGGTGGACTTGGTTGGTTGGAGCAACTCTCTACTGTTTTATGGACCACCGGCCATTGCCTGGTGGACTAATCCTGGCCTGCTTGTGGCTGGATTGATTTGGGACAGTTCTGAGGTTGGGTGAAGGGAACTGCTGGGGAACATCAATAAAACTCTCTATAAACCATACTTACGTGTGTGTGTGAATGAGTGGGGCAGCGCAGCATGTGACACTTGTAGAGAGTGAGCTTCGATTGGGCAGTCCTGGTGCCATTTTGATCTTCTTCAGTCCCCGCAAAGGCCAACCCCCAAAATACTCCAGCTACTTACCTATGCCGATCACGCAGACATCTGCCCGGAGTACCTTGCCACTCTTCAGCACTACCTCCTTCAGCTTTGGGGAAAGGTAAAATGCAGCCAATTAAAAAAAAACACACCCCTTCAGCTCAACAACACATTAAGCTGAAGCTAGAAACATTTCTGCTAGGAATTCTATCTAAAATTTATAATAAAGAGAATGCATATTTAATCATTCATGTATTAACCGCAGCTAGAATTGTATTTGCACAACATTGGAAAAGTGTAGAGATTCCTATTGATGAGAAGGTGATATTTACCATATCTGTACAGAAATGAACAGATTAACATTAGCAATTAAGGGGAAAGAGCAAACTGATTATTATATGATATGGGAAGTGTTTTACCAATGGTTGGAGAGAGAAAAAAGGAATTTGTAAATCAAGAAAGCTAAAAAATAAGTAGACAATAAACTTAGATAGAGATATAAATGAGATGAAAACTGTTAGTATGTGTATGATGAGAATTACGATGTTTAATGTTGATATGATATTATTACTAGAAGATATTAAGAAGAAAAATAAAGGAGGGGGCCATATAATAACGGGTATGCTCTGTGAGAGGTCAAGAACTCTCTCT